GACCAGAAGGGGCGGCGCTGGGTGCTCCACCTCTGAAGGGTGCTCCCCTTCCCACCAGGTTTGGTGCATGTTTTCCACTCAGCACTCAGGGGAAGCCGCCAGGGGGCGACAGCGTCCCATTGTATCTCAGAGCCAGACTGAGGGGGAGCCGGGGTGCTCCAGGGGCCCAGGCGGGGAAGCCCAGAGACCCTTTGGCACCCCCTGCACAGCCCATGGCCTTCTCTCCGAGTTACCACACCATGTGGCCTCTGTGAGCCCTGCAGTGCTGAGTGCTGAGTGCCTCCGAGTCCCTGTGCTGAGTTCTCACCTGAGGGGTGGGGTGAGCACTGGGGCTGGGGTACGCTGAGGTCCCCACAGTGGAGCATGGTGGATGGGATCCGGGTCCTCAGCACAGAGACCCGGGAGCTCCCGCCCCGTCCACTAGGGAGGACACAGCGGCAGGCGCCAGCTGTGACCTGGATGCAGCCGCACCAGACGCGTGCTCTGCACCCTGGACCTGGACCTCAGCCTGCAGGACGGGCCCCGAGGGCTGCTGGGTGTCAGCGCCCACCCGAGCTGTGCATTGCATATGGCGGCCCTGATGGACTGAGACAGGGAGAGACCAGCACAGGGACCTCAGCCTGCAGGACGGGCCTCGAGGGCTGCTGGGTGTCAGTGCCCACCCGGCTGTGGGATGGCACAGGGCGTTCTCTGGTTTGGTTCCTGTTTCTGTCCCCAGCTGGTCTGGGTTGGGCTGTGTGACCCGCTGTCCCCGGCTCTGTCCCAGGCTGGCCTCAGACTCACAGCAATCCTCCTGCCTCAGCCTCCCAAGTGCTGGGTGGGTGATGGGCACTCGTGTGGCTCTGTGCCAGGCTGTACTGTGCTGCTCTGAGTGTGAGTCTGTGTTTCCAGGCTGGGAACACATCGGAAGAGGTGACTGCTCAGGTCTGAGCTCGAGGGTGCTCGTCTGCCCCAGCTAAGTCCCCCTCCCGGGTTATTTCCAGCATCCTGGATTGGAGCCAAGGGCAGTTGTGGGCAGTGCCATCTTGTGTGTCTCAATTTCCCACCGAAGCTGTCTAAGACCCGCTGCCACACACAGCCGCAGCCTGAGGTCTGGTGAGTCAGAGAGTCAGTCAACAAACATTTTCTCATTTAAGTAAACCACATCGATGCGGACGTCTTGTGTTTTTAAAACCATCACACGCGACATGAACAATGTGGACGCCCACCTTGGTTACTGAACATTTACTGACAGAAACAAGCGATGTGGAGCGGAGACCATGGCTGATAAGAATTATTTATGGGCGACAATTATTATCGAGACAGGGCATTTGATTCAGTGAACAGCGTGGGCGCGTGTGTCGTGTGTAGACCTCCGTCCTCACCACGGCGTCTGGGGGAGGCGGGGAGAGAACGGAGGTGAGTCTGCTCCCCGCGTGGGAGATGCCGGGGGACGCTGCACCATTTATGAGGACCAGCATCTGTGACCCTGGAGCGTGCTGAGACTAGAGGCCCGGGCGCCCACGTTATTGATGAGTAATAGTAATTATGACTGCAGAACATGCTCTGAAATTAGTGATCACAACCCTCCTCCTCGCTGGCGGGAGTGCAGGGGTGCAGCCTCTGTGGGGAGAGTCCTGAACAACTAGGATTGGAGGTCCCATTGCACCCAGCTCTCTCCCCACCGGGCATCTTCCCAGAAGAATCAAAAGCATCATACCACAGTGATATATGTGCACCCATGTTTACAGCAGCACAATTTGTAATAGCCAGATCTTGCAAACAACCCAAGTGTCCATCAACTGAGGAATGGATAAAAAAGTTGTATTTGTATACAATGGAGTACTACTCAGCCATAAAGAAGGATAAGCTGGAGACAGTCACGGCAGCTGACCTGTTGGCTTCTCTGAGTTCACCGAAGAGAAAACTTTGTGCAGGTTGTAGGATGCTAAGCAGACGGCCTGTGCTCTAGGGGAGGATTTGGGGGGACAATGTGAGTTGTGTGCACCACGATCCCCCCCGACTGACCTGCTTTGAAATATTTTTCTCTTTGAAATAAAGTGGATTTGAAAACACAAACAAAACAAAGAAACTACTTGAGCTCAAGAAAGCCCCCGCCAGCCACATCGGGAAAATGTGTCCTGGGGGCCAGGCCACCCCCCCCAACCCCGAGTGACCCCAGAAGCCGAGGGTTCGGGCCAGCCCGGCCCCGGGCAGCTCCTTCTGTGCCTACAGCTGATCAGGATGCCAGGAAGCCCAGGGCTTGTGGCCCCGAGTCTTGGAGAAGGACGTGGGCCCGGGGTCCCAGTCTGCAAACCTTGTGGGGTCACGCGTGGACACAGGGAGCATTTCAGTGGAATCATCACGGGAATGTCCACGCTGTGGTCCCCTCCGAGGTCCCGAAAAGCCCCACGTGCTCCGACTGAAGGCCTGGGGCCGGCACGGTACTGTGCCCGGGTTAGCGGGGTGCGTGGTCCTCGCGCACGGCTGACCAGTGGCCTCCGTCCCGATTTGCTTATCGGGTCTCGGCCCGGGGATGCGATTGAGAATCGGGGTGTCCCTGGGCCCTGGAGGTGGGTCCTCCCGCCTCAGCCTCCCAGAGTGCTGGCATCGCAGGTGGGCAACCCCTCACCTGGCCGTGCTGCGGATTTTGGGGGATTTTGACTTTCCGTCCCTCGAGGGTGCTCGGATGCCCGGCTGTGACCCAGGGCGCCCGCTTCCTTGCCCTCTGGGGATCTGATTCAGAGTCTGCGGCACCTTCATCAGTGGCGTTTGCAAAATGAAACATGTCTGAGGCTGGACTGTGGCAGCCTTCACTGTCGATCGTGGATGATACACACGGACACACACATGCACACATGTACACACAAGTACATATGCACACACATGCACACACCCAACACGTACACACACATGCACACACGTACACACAAGTACACAAATGTGCACACACACATGTACACACACCTGAACACACACACATATACACACAAGTACACACACATGCACACATGTACACACAAGTACACATGCACACACATGCACACACCCAACATGTACACACACATGCACATACACATGCACACATGTACACACAAGTACACCAATGTGCACATATACATGTACACACACCTGAACACACACATATACATACAAGTACACACACGTGCACACATGTACACACAAGTACACATGCACACACATGCACACACCCAACATGTACACACACGTGCACATACACATGCACACATGTACACACAAGTACACAAATGTGCACATACACACGTACACACACCTGAACACACACATATACACACAAGTACACATAGGTGCACACACATGCACACGCGTGCGCACACAAAGATCCCTCAGCTGTTTCTGTGTCTCGGGCTGCAAAGTTTCAGGCCATTATGAGACGCCAGGCAGACGGGACACGGGCAGAGACAGCGGACCAGGATCCCGGAGGCTGAGGCAGGAGGCTCTCAAGCGGGTGCCCAGCTTCCACACTTACAGGCTCAGTGAGATCCTGCCTCAAAAACTTAATGAGAAAAGAAAATTTAATAAACAGCAAGGCATACAGATCAAAGTGCAAAGGCCCTGCCTGCGACGTCATGACCGACACGAGACAAAATAAACTCAATTTAACCCGCTAATCACCAAGGTTCTTATGGCGCCCTGGAAATGACCAGAAAACTAACCACGAGCTGCGGGGAGCACAAAGGATGTGATGCAAGAGGCCTGTGGTCACCTCCCCGAGGCCGCCCCTGACCCCAGCAGCCCTCGGGCCCGTCCTGCAGGCTGAGGTCTGTGTGTGGTCCCAGGATCACGTCAGCCTTGTGGCCCCATTTCCTGCCACCAATGAGGAAACCCCAGAGGTGCATCCACGGAGCACGGAGCCCTCTGCTCTGGGGGTGCCCCAGTCTCCTTGAGGCCGAGGTCCTGGCCGCCTGCACCTGCAGGGTGACGGGGTGGTGCCCCGCGTGCAGGACCCTCCATGCGGGGTGCCTGGTGCCGGACGGCCTCTCCCGCGCCCTGTGTCTTGCAGGAGCCGTGGTCACACAGAGCTTGCAGGGCCCTGGTGCCGAGTGGCTTTTGAGGCTCGGGCAGGGCTGTGGTACCAAAGCCGTGCTGTGTCCCAGGACCCCAAGCGACAAGGTGGGTCCAGCTCCCGACCCCTGGACCGAGTGCCCGGTGGCCTTTGGCGGGGCCCTCGATCTCGGCCTCTCTGGGACCGGCAGGAAGGCGGCAGAGGCTCTGCCCTGGGATGACAGGCAGCGTGGCCGGCGCGCGGCAGCCCTCTTGACCCCCGGCGGCCGTGGAGGGAGGCGGCCCTTGTGCCCGGGCGCCCGGCCCAGCCTGGGTTCCCACAGTTGGGCCTGGGCGTCCCTTTGATTCCTGGATTCTTCCCGCACGGCAGGGTTTATCTGCACGCTCTGGCCGGCTTGCCACTTCCTCTGAGTCTTTGTGTGTCCTGTTCCCGTTTGCCGGGGAGATGCAAATGAGGATTTTAACGAGCTGAGCGCTGGGGGCCGGGAGGGAGGTGACCCCACGGTCCAGCCGCCCGGTCCCTAATGAGGGACATCAAGCCTGCCCGGCAGGAGGCGGATGAGGAGCGGCAGCGGCTGTGGGCGGGCGGGGAGCTCGGGCCGGTACCGCAGCACCTCCATCCTCTGTCCTCCCGTCCTCCCTCCCGTCCTCCTGTCCATCCGTTCCCCCCTCCCCGGACAGCACAGCCCCGGTGGCAGCAGCACAATTAGCAGCCGGGCTGCTTGCATTTGGGCTCGGGCAGCGCCGGACGGACGGACGCGCGGATTTAAATAATCAAAGTGACACCTTGGCTCCCGCGGGCCGAGCCAGCAGAGGCCATGCATACAAGGCCCGGCCGCCCGCCCACCCGGGGACGCCTGGGCCTTTGTCATGCTAACGCCCTTTGTTGGCACCCGGGCCTCCTTCCTGCGGGAGGCGGGCACTGCCCGGTTTAATCCCCCTAATCCGGCTGCGCAAATCCCCTCCCAGGGGCC